GTCTAGAAACCTCAGTGGAGTCCCTTTAAACAATTATGTTTTCATAAATATCTACATTGTCGAGGATATATAAATCGTATGAAGAAAGATACTAAACTTTACGGAGTGATTGATGATTATTAGAATTATTTGCTATCCTAACAACTTGAAAAGAAAGAGAAATGTATATATCAGTACTTTTTCTCATAATTTTATCACAGTTGTATCGTCAACCGGTTTGATTACCGTGCAAAATTACCTCGACTTCTAATTTTCTGTATTCATGTAGGTCCAAGAAGTTAATTACAAGCCTAATATGTGCGTAAATTTCCTCTAAATGAAGCGGCAAACCTTGCTCCCTTTGATGTATACATCAGGAAAACTTAATTTAGATTTAGTTGGGATAATTTTCATTTTTTGGTAATTGATTTTACTTTTTTTATAAGTTTTACGCGCCGTCATGCATCTAACAGGTTAGGCGCGTCTGCCCAATAAATCCCGCTACAATATTTCGAACGAGATCTTAAAATATGAACTGGTATAAGATAAAACACTCTAGCTTGGGCCTGAAGAAAAAAATCACCTAAGAAGAACAAAAAGATGCAACAAATTGTTAGAATAAAAGAAAACGCGCAGTTATAACTGATATAATAATCTAAGCGATTCGAATCACAGACAAATTTGTTTTGAAATAACCAAAAGGGATACTCAGGCAAATATTAAATATTAAAATGACAAAAATATTAAAATGGTTTAATGTGCTCAAATCACGCTAAAATGACATTTTTAAAGTCCCAGTATGAATTTCTGTATAAATTCTATATATATATTGGGTTTGAAGCGTAAATTAATATATCTAGATATATTAAACGAAATTTAGACGCCAACAGAAGTAGTTTTAAAACAAGCCATGTGATTTGAACAAACCTTGGAAGTTACAATAACAGCTACATTGTATTGTGGATTATTTGTACGTGGGGATATTGTATGATTGAAACAAGTCTAAGTCATTATTTTGTCATGTTCGTTAACGTTTCCAGAGTTCACTGTGGCAACTATTGTGAAATCTTAACCTTCTTACATGACCCATGTGGGTCAAGTTAGGAAACCACCATTTTATTCTTTATAAGGAGTAAAGTTTTGTTCCTATGACTGCCTAGGGAATCTATTTTGAGGACATTCACAGAATAATGAATGAAAAAATCAAAACGAAGAAATGAAAATTTTGCCTATGTCTCGCTCTGGCTTATAAACAAAAGTAAAACTTGTGTAAGGTATTGCAGATGTAATTTGATTCTACATACTATATTTGACTTCAAAAAATTAAAAAAAGAAATATCTTTGAAAAGATAGTCGGCTAAAATAAACCTAGTTTTATTGTGTTTACTTATTTCTTGGTCAAGATTGAGGTTATAAATCACACGTTTACACGGTTTCCAACATGCATGACATACTTTTTCTGGTCTTTTGTTTGAATTCGACTTTGCGACCCCTAGATTTATAGTCAAAGAATGTTTTCACTATACCACTGCATTCAATCAACGGGTCCGTGTTAGGAACTTCTTTATTTATTTTTATTAATTTTAGAATGACCAATAACAGATTTCATTTTGAACTATTATAAAAGACAAATGAAAATCTACAATAATTTAGTTTTAATCTTTTGTATTTTGTATAAAAAACACATGAAACACACACGCTTGCACGCAATTACAAAGCAGAAGAAGAAAAAAAAACAAACGCAAGATAAATTGTTGTGAAATTTTACGGAAAATATAAAATGTCTTTACAATTTAGTCTACAACGCCAGAATAGCACTCCATATTTAGTATATACTAAATAATTCACACAATTTTGCGTCTTTTTATTATTATTATATTTTACGTCTCTATTTAACCATAATGGTAACCACGAACCGTTTCCCGTTCAGTCTCGACATCTTCCTTAGATGTATTGTATTTCATCTAACTTAATAAAGTCATTACATTTAACACGTATCAACTGATTTGTACGTGTGTAATAATCCGAAAAAACACCTTAAAAGGCTAATTATTTTACAAATTGCCATATAATGACCATCAAAGGTGTTTGAAGAAAAATATTTGTATTTTGTTAGTTAAACAACATTAATTTTAGAAACCATAACTTTACTACAACAATTAGGGCGAAAGTAGCGGGTAAAAATGATGTAGATATAATCCAAAATAAGTACAGAAGCTGAGTGGCAATGGCGATTCATCAAAAGTCATTCTCAGATATTTCAGAGGAAAGATTTTTGTGTGTGTGCAAAATTCATATACACGTGTTAGTTAAGCTGCCACTTACATCATGCGACACAGTCAGTTTCCAATGCCAACGAAAAGTTTCCTGTTTTGAGGGTTTCTACAGTATTGGTTATCCATAATTTCAACAAAGATTGTCCGATTGTTCATCAGTCTTTATGTTAAATCTACGTACAAATAGCTAGTTTTAATTTGTTGCATCTTTCCTTTTAAAATTATTCTTCCAAGCGACCTTTTAATAGCACCCCTTTAAAACTGTATTTCATGTTAATTAAAGTCATAAATAAGAAAGGTGAATTAACAGTCTCCGGAGAGATACGGTTTAAATCACCAAAAAAGGTTGTGATACATAATAATCAAAGGGATGTAGGCAAACTGTCTACGAGAAGTTAATCGTAATCTTCGGCACTAAATGCCGTTATTCGGTACAAAGTAACAAAAAGGAAAACGTTCAGACGGAAACATTTTTTTCCATGTCTATTAAAACTTTATAATGTAGAAATTATATTAATGCATAAGGATTAGAAAATAACCGATAATCAGATATCATTAACATCAAAATTGCAGATTTTTGCTCATGAAAGTAAACTTTACTATAAAAGCTGTTAAATTTCATGCATGGGTTCGACTAAACAGTTATAATGCACGGTGCAATAACACTTACAGTAATAAAGATGTTACTTTTCAAGTTTTTATCGCGTTTTCAAATCAACAGCTATCTATTAAACTGATGTGGCGGAAAATTTACTTCAATAAATCCTCTAAATTATGATTACATAGGTAGTAACATAATATCTACCTTGTTTTTGCAAAGACAATTTGGCGCCTCTAAAAACACCACTTTAGTAAATTTTGGTTCGTCATTACGGGGGACGTAAATCATCAAATGTTTGAACTATCTGATGAATATTGAAATGAGAACAGTTTTTGTGAGTTTTGTGTTTTTATGTCTGCATGATAAAGCAATATGGTTACAGTACGAATAAAATGTTAAATAACGTCATTAGTTTAAAGCATTTGAAGGTCTTGTCGCCTTTTTGTTTCTACCCACTCCTCTAATTAATTTGGACATGAACGCTGTCACAATACATGTATAATCAGTAAGCTTCAGAAACAGTGAATTGTTTTAGCCCAATTTCATGCTATGGTATATTTGTATATGTTGTTACAACCTTACAAAAAGAGAAACCTCTGCTTTGACATCGTATAATATTATATCGCTTACTCTAATAATCCGTAATAAAATTATATAAAACTGTACATGTAGTTGTGAAGCAGGACTCAAAATCCTGATGTTATCAATTTTATTTAGCCCCGACAAGCGATCGGTCGCAGGTTTTGCTTGCTTGATATGGGTGTCCGGATGGGTTCCTTTAAAACGCTTAGCCTGCCGGCTGTGCGGCCATTGCAGTTCAAAGATACTTATAGTGGTAAGGGTTAGGTTCGTTCTGGCATCCTATCTTACAAAAAATTCTGACATGTTATAAAACTCGAGTAGGACCAAGAAGTAAAGTGCGCGACAAATGATATCCCTGACAAGGTCGAGATAATCAGAAAATGATTGTGAACAGATCTTGATAATCAGTACCCAATCATCTTCACAAGCAATATGTAAGTTATAATTTTCAAAAAACAAGTACATTAATTTTCGTCCACAATTTTACTATTCATTTAATATGACATGCGCCGAAAGAACTATTATATAACTAGTAGAATAATGATAGAAGATTTTTATGTTTCCTAGAAGAATCAAACTATATTTAGATTCTGTAAAAGACGTAGTTATGCCAAATCATTTTAGAGCTGTTCTACTAGAGCTATAGAAAGAAAAGAACACAAAAATGACACTTTTTTGGCACTCAAATTTGGTGTTGTAGCAGCAGTTTACACAGAACAAAACAGCATGTAAATCACGCATTTTCAATGCGCAAAGAATATGTATTGGAAGTTTATGCATATCCCCATTTTTAGCCAATCTATAAGATATATGTGTCCAAAGTCATAACGAACATGCACGTTCATGTTACTCTGACATTTTTTATATTTTGAGCATGGCAATTTCTGCCATTGACTGAGTAAAACCGAGCTAACTAGATGTTTCTGGGTTTCAAAAATGTAGGTCTCTAGCGTGATTTGAAGCCCCATGTCACTGTACATTTTGGTGCTCATTGACCGCTTTAAAGTGACTCAAAATGAATTCCTTGGCCTTATACTCTTTTGATTTTTTTCTTTGGCTAATATTAATTTACACAGAAGTAAATAATAACCACTTCGTGCTTCGTGCTTCAAAATTTTAACTCTTTAAGGGCATGACTGGTGAATATTCCGGTGTCCGACCCGGCAGCGGAAGCTTTTTTTTTGGGGGGGGGGGGATGTTGCCTAACGGCCGAATGGGCCTTCAATAAACACAGACTATATATATATATATACACATTAAAAGAATAAGAGAAATGGTGACAGACTTATTTTCTAATTACGCTGCAAAGTAACATTTAAACAACTTTCATTTCATGCGCATGCTACGTATAGTAATAAGGTAAGGATTTCTCTGTATTAACGTCAATTTAAAATAAGCGATCCTAGATGCTGAGATTGGTTGGGGTATGGAGCGTGACTTATAGATGTTAGATGAAAGGATGATATATTGACTTGAATGTATCGGGGTAGATGGAAAGGAACGCCCACTAGTTTGACAATATAACGGTGTAAATCAACAACCGTAGCACTAGGTAACTCAGTATCTCATATTGCCAAGGTTACTGTTACTTTTAATATATTTAACATCTTATTTGATTGCTTATTCGTCAGTCTGTGGTCGATTTACGTTACGATCACAAATATCCGAATACTTGATAAAATATACTTTTAAAGCTTACAATAAGTTTAGGTTATTAAACTGAGCATCATTCACGAAAACATCTATAGGATTTTATCTATTTTCTATTTGTCTTTAATGTTAATAATCAAGTAATAGTAAAGACATACTGTTTTCTAGAAGAAAAGGTGGTAATAAATTGAAATAAGAACTTATTAAAATGCCGAAAACATTTTTGATACGGAAAAAACAGGGATTAAAAAATGTATGGTGCGCACCAGAAGCAGAGGTTTTCGGACATATCGATTACAGGAATTCGGATGAATCTTTTCGGACAGGTAATTTTTATATTGAAGATGAAAATGTTGAAAGTTAACATAAAGAAAGTTTCGTATATAAAAAACTGTTGTACTGTTGTCTGTAAATGCAGATCTTTATTCAAATATTTTAAATTTCAAATATATATTTTTCCAATAAAAAATCAAAAAGCTGTAACTTTCAAGAAAATTTAAGAATATTTTTTCAAAGATCACATTTTTTGATGATATAAAAGCAATTGTTCATGTTATTTTATGAAAGTGACTTAACTTATTAACATGATAAAATATTAAGAATATAAATTAAAGAGAAAATGTGTATTCCCTATAAAACAATCAATGTTTCCTATTCTGAATCAGAATATCGTATGATAAACGATATTTGTTTGTAATTTGAAAATTACGAATTTTCGTAATGACTGAACACAATGTTCTTTTTAACAATTTACAAACTTATATGTATTTACTTTTTCTTAATCCAGGTTTCCCTGTTACATTGAACATTTCTACTCATGAACTTCCGTCTCCGCTAGCAGCAGACGGACCGGAAAGAGAACCTACGTCATCAGAACCTGTATCACGTGACCACATACGTTCCGCTTTCGAATATTGGCCAGCCGTTAAACAACGCCTGCTACAGTCTCCACCGCATAATGCGTTTCCCCAGAGACCAAACATTTTACCATTTGGCTTTCAGTATTACCAAACTGACAAAATTATACACGCTGATTTAAACAACAACAGTAATAACAGGGACAGACTGATAGCCTCGTCGCCGCCATTTTCTCCAAACTCTCCAGCTCAAACAAACGCTTTTATTCCAAGAGACAAAGATTCGGATCTCCTTGCATCTAGTCCTCTGGGTGCATGCACAACGAATTTGGATTCTTTTCTATGGCATGCCCATAACTTTTACAATAACAATTATCCAGGATTTGAATACAATCTATGTCAACGGCGACTGTCACAATCTTTACATCCTTACAAAGTTCCAGAAAAAACAGTCGTCGACTGGCCTTTTGGGTGTTTGAATAAACTTACAAAAGATCATTCAAGCTTAAAATCTTCACCGACTCTACCAGAAACACAAAATAAACCACTTAATGTTCCTAAATCTCCGCTCGTTGTAAGTCTATTCTATGATTATTTTTTTTATTACACATTAAATATGTTAGAAAATAAATACAATTAAAATCAAAAATTAAGTCTTAGATATATATAGTTTTTTTTATATATATTTCGAACATGAATTTGAAAATAAAGATGTTTTATGTTATTGCAATTTATAAATTGTAGTGAAAAAAATGTATGTTTAAATTGCAAACTTGTGTTATTTGAAATCAATGCTAAGAATATAAGCTATTAACCTAGATGACTTTACAAACAATTCTTTAATTTTAACAACTTTTATTCTTTTCCTTTTTATAAAAATATTTTCAGAAAAGAAAGAGTAAAAATTGGCGTTAAGTAAATCATAAATATTTAGTTTGAAGAATATAATTTAATTTTCTCCAGACTCCTTCAGCAGCACAAAATATCGAGCTGATTAATGGCGGGTACGGAATAAAGAATCCATTATTGTCCCCAGAATGCAACATTGTCAAAGACACGCCCACACCGGGAATAGTAACCAACTGTAAGTAGAGAGATTTTAACACATTCTTTGTCTCTGTATTTTAACATTACTGCACAATATATATATAAAATAATAAAATCGAGCAAATTGGTCTTTTAATTAAAGCCAAGTTCTTTCAAAATGAGCGCTCGGCTTTGCTTAAAATCAATTTTAACAGGAATGTTATTCTTTTCTAAGAAACTTACCAATTACATGAATTTCAAGGAAGCGGATTATCATTCTGAATGCAAAATTAAATAAAACAGAAAACAGCAGTATCAAATTAAAAAAAGGGATTTAATTGTAAAAGTACATCGTACTTAAATAATTTAATATACTGTTAAAAAAACTGGAAAAAACGCAGGTAATTAAAATATTTCCGGCATTTTTTCCGTAAACTTGAAAAATTTTCCGCTCGTAATATTTTAAGCCTGATTTATGTTTAACTGTGAAAGATAAAAATTCGTTAAATCATGGACCTTATTTCAACAAAACCGCTGAAAATGATTCAACTTATGATTTCAATACTAATATCTTGCCTTGAGTTGAAAAGACCTGAGACAAGATTTTTGGGTATTCGAGGAGAAGAAATATTAATTCATTAAGGGTAAATTATATCCGGTGTCGCATATTGAATTAAATATTATGTGACAAAATAGCTTTAGAAAGTCATTGACCAAATTCAAACCGTGTCATGCATGTCACGAGTAATTTAAATTAATAACTAAAATAACAAACAACAACTACAGTTATGCAGAACAAACACATATGATAAACAAACATACACAAGTATTCCTATTTTACTCTTCATCTTTAGGCACTAGCTACAGAGATACGAAATTCAGCTGTAAAATTTGCGGGAAATGTTTCGAGTTCCCGAAGCTACTACAGCGCCATCTGAAGACCCACTCTGACGTAAAGCGTTATTTATGTACGTTTTGTGGGAAAGGATTTAACGACACATTCGACCTGAAGCGACATACGCGTACACATACAGGTAATAAATGTTCATTAAAATTACCCAACTTACCGTGTATGATTATGTCGCAACATCGACCTTGGTTGGAAAGGTTGGTGTGCGGTGCGGTGGGGCGGGTGCAGGAGTGGTGGCAAACACATTGTATTACATTGAATACATTGTATTACTATCCGACCATAGAAAACAAAACTACATTACTCTCATAGCAATTAGCTTTACCTGAAGACAGTTGTAATTTAAAGAAACTGTATGATAGTAAAGAAAGTCATTTAAAACAATATTTTGCAGTTAGTACTTTAATTACTAAAAATATGCAATTTATTTATACGAGCTTATACTTATCAAACTATTATATTACATGTATATATGTGTTTATAAGCACAAGTTTTCGAGACAGCGTAACGGTACTAGATTTTGCACATATTTTTGTTATTTTTCATATACATTTGAACACCACGTGTATGTTTACAGGTGTCCGTCCGTACAAGTGTGACATGTGTGATAAAGCGTTTACACAACGGTGTTCCTTGGAGTCACATTGTCGCAAAATACACAATGTCGAGTTCCGGTTTGGCTACAAAGAGAGACGCGGGAAAGTGTACGTCTGTGAAGACTGTGGTCACGTGACAAATGACCCGGAAGAACACTTTGTTCATATTAAAGACAGTCACCCTTATAACCCGACTATTTTAAGATGCTACGATAAAAGACATTTCAAGTTTAATGACGATAATATACAGAAAATTAAAAACAGCTAGCTGTATGTGTCAACAATTATGACATATGGTTCGGCCATGGAATACTTTGCTCTCTTATTGTAAAAAAAATATGGTGACGAGAGTTACTTTGCATGCTAATGGCTTGATCAATCATTTGTATAATATTTATATTTCAAAAATATATACAAAATTTCGACGTCTATTTCTTGTTTTTTATATTACTTGTGACAACTAGGTAAAGGGGAACGGTGGCCTAGTGTGTGGTGTCTGCCAGAGAGCCAGGGATCGTATGTTCGAACCCTACTCGGGTCACGATTAAATGATTCCTCATATGACACAAGTACTGTTTATTACCAGGAAGCGGACTCGATAGTGATTAGTATATGTTGCAAGAACTTGTTTCGCAATAGAGCTAAAATACAAATGTAAATATGTTTTAACTAAGTATAGTTAGATAATAAGTAAACTTGGTTACCATAGTTGATGTTCAGTGTCTGTAGTGAATCTTGAACCTATTATCTGCTGGATACGAAAGTGATAAGCCTTTGCCACCATTACAGAGCCAGATCACATCCATGCAGTCCAACCGGGCTCTATATTGTCCGGCCTTTGTATTTTGATATTGAAATCCCTTAAACTTAGAATGAACTCTTCCAAATTTAAAGGGTATAAAGCTATATCTGATGAAAAAATTTTAAAAGCGGTAAATACATATTGTTTTCATATCCTAACGGTAATATCTCGAAAAAGTTGTTACATAAAATGCCTCTGTTATTTAACATACATGAATATTGTGTGTTAATCAGAATAAAATGTTCCGGAACAAAATATTCCCCTACTATTTGATTATAAAACACATGTTCCACACGCTTTCATTAAAATATATGGACATATTTCTTTTGTTTTATGTTTTTGTAGCTATTTTAATTATAATATAAACACTATTTTGACATCCAAATAGCTTTATACACTTTAAAGCAGGGTGAATCTATTATAAAAATTCAGGAAGGTAAGGTTCGAGACATTTGGTTTTATTATACTGTAATGTCGTTAAAAGCATTTCTGAAAATTCCCTATTTCGACACATTTATCCATGCATCTACGCTACACAATGTAATAAACTACCTTTTTCAGATGACATCTGAATTTTATCATATTTTTACTATTATTAAAGGTATAAAACATATATAAAATACTGTTTTCAACACCAGGTGGTGCAGCACAGGTTTCACGAATTTTTCCGAAAACAAAAAAAACACATTGTTTTCTACGATGTGATGTAGGGGAGAATATATTTAATATTTTATATCTACATACATCTGCGACCATTTCTGACGCTTGTCAGATTAAATACAAATCTACGTTACTTTTACAGTTGTGTTTGCATTTTAGGACCTTTTGATATCTTTAATATCGATAATAACACATTATTGGACCTTTCTTTACCGTTTAACACGATACAATCGGTTACCTCGGGTAAACGGTATAATCTACTGCAGCTGGTCAAGATAAAAATCATCGTCAATGAACCACCCATATAAAATAATACAAATCATCGCTATGTTTATACTAGGCCTAGTTTATTCACATATGTTTAATTTTAAAGTGTATAAAGCTATATCGTAATATGAAATATTTTTATATATGAAATTTATCGACGGTAAAATAATATTGTTTCCATTATTCTTAGGTCGAATTACGAAAGAGTTGTAATATAGAATGTCTTTGTTATTTATCACATATGGTCATTGTATGTTAACAGAATAAAATGTTCCGAAACGAAATATTTCTAGTATGCTGCTCTTTTTAGGTATGATTTAAGCCGTTAAGCAATGATTTCGTGTTTAAGAAATATACACAAAAATCTATTTAAAAAAATGAAAATTTTGTGCGATTCTTTGCCCGATTAAAGTGAAAAGCGTTGCAACTTTTCAGTTTCGTGTCATCTTACACAAGTTAAATAACCATTTAGAAAAAGGAATTGAGAAAATGATTTCAAATCTTGCACACAAGTTATTGGTCTACAGTATATAGCTGTGGAACATTAATCTAAAAAAAAAATGATTTCCAGTCCCGTCATGTCAGAAATCCCCAGTGACAGTCCCTTTAAACGTTATCATTACTGGAATGGTGTTGTGCAATGACTTTTGCCCTAACTTGCTACATTTGAGTAAAGTTTTGCTGTTTTTTTTTAATAAAAAAGCAACAACAACAAAACAACAACATAAATTTCCTTGTAGACATCTTTCAAGGCAGACGAATTTTCAAGACGAAGATAAAAAAATGAATTAACCAAAGCAAACCAAACAAAGCTCAAAAAGGGGGAAAATATAAGATACAATTTTCACTCTTTATGTTTTGATTCATAATTTATTTTACCGTCTGTTTTTTTATCTATCAACGTGAACGGCAAATGGCTCGTTAACTTCCGTATATATACATGCAGATAGTATCTTATTGGGGCTAACATATTACATATGAAAATTGTTTAATTATATTTCGCTTTCATCTTTTATTTCTCAAATATACGACCAAAGAAAACGGTATTTGGAGAAATTAGTATTTGTAGATGTTATCGATAAAGTAATAAATCATGCACATTTAAAATTTGCCACAAAAAATGGTATCAATCCTTATAGTTAATGTAAACGTCTTAATATGTTCAACATTTAGACCTTTCCCTCTTCTTCATTGTCGTTTCTTACACCTTGCTTTAGATTTTGATTGACGTGTAATGACTCTACACATGATTTAGACGCAACCTCACCTGTAAATCAAGTCTAGAGGACTCTTACAATTCAATCAAAGATGCAGGTGATTTTTGAAGCAGGTGAAAGACTCCTGACAACCTCCTTGTTATAATCAAATCACAAAGTATACAAGTTTGCTTCTTTAAAAAGAAGGATGCAAGAGGTCTTTTTTCAGCTGTGGAAGATTTGTTTAATTTGAAAATATTTGGAGATATTTTTGCATAAAAGGCACAATGAATGTTTATAAATTTCAATTATTTAACAAAACAAAATGTATTATATAGAGGATATTTGTTTGTTTGTGTGTAAGATGAAATTTTATTTCATCGAGTGGGCTTTAAAAACAGTATTCTCACGAGTGGCGTAGCCACGAGTGAGAATACTGTTTTTAAAGTTCACGAGATGAAATAAAATTACATCTTACACAACAAACAAACAAATTTTCTTTTTATTTTATGCTAAAAAACAAGTTTAAACAAAATTTCCATAATATTAACATAAATATTAAAATCTGTTTCCCCATTGAGAGCCCCATTTCGTGCGAATTTCTCATTAAAAACAAGAAGTCTTGAGCTGAAAAATAAGTCCGACAATCAACATTAAATGACAGTGATATTATTAATTTTGTTTCAAAAATATGAATGATCGCTTGTTTTAATAATAAAAACAAACAATTCGTGTAGGAGAAAATTCCAACCATCCATCCATATTTCTGTTACCTACTGCGAATTTATATTAGACCTGGCTTTGTTAAATGTAAGCGGCAGCCATTTTTTAAAGTTGTGTATATCACTGGAGGAAAATAATTTGTGTTTGATTCAGAGGGATATCATTTGGAATTGTTAGTCATACACCTTTTTAAAAGAAAGAAAACATATTTGAGGATTGAAACAGACAAAAATTAAGCGTTGACAGATGTGAAAACATGAAAAAAGCAGCTATGAAAATGGAAGACTTGGAACTTGCTCGGAACGCTGGGTTGGTTTACTTGTTCTACGAGCTGTAGCTGTCATTGCTTTTCAATTTTTCATAAAGCATACGGCAGTTATTACTCGTAGGATACTTTAATATGCCCAAATGTCATCAAGAGCAGTTTGCATGTGGAAGGAATGTATTTTTCAGACTGTAAAAATGAAACAAAAAATTTAGAGACGAAATTTGGTGATTGGAATTTGAATGAATAGAAGTAAGTTTTCTTCTTTTGACGTTTAAGGTATTTATCAATTTCAGCTTTCCTTTTTCTTTAAACAGCCTGACATTGTCAGAATTGTCAGCAAAAATAAAATTGAGGTACCACATGGGGAAAATCTTAAAAAAGTAGTTTCGTCATTGAAAAAAGTGAAATTATATTTTGATAATTTTCACTGTGAAATTACCAAATATAATTTTCACGGATAAATCAGTAATCCACTGAAAAGCATAAAATAAACATGTATATACTGAATATAGTCTCATAATGAAAGTTTGTTTTACGCTTCATTATTTTAATGTTTTGAAAGATTATATGCCGGAGAAATGGACATTTTCCTGGCGCATCAAGGCTATTTTTTCTACTAAGGGAACAATTCATGTAATATTATTATATTAAAAGTAGTATTAAAATATAAATTTCTTGAAAATTCAAAAACCGTATATAAACAGCTGCATGCTTCCAACCACAATAAAATTTTCAAGAAAATCAAACTTGTGAAAAATTTGTGCCATTTGCGCCAAAAAAATATCGTAGTGTTAATTAAAGTAAACTATATTTTCCGATTTTTTCCTTGTACCGATTTGTTTATTTCGATGTTAATTTTTCGTTTAAGTTGAGTCGTATTTTGAAGTGGTGCATGCTCATTACAATTTTTATTTGTTTGGGTCGTCAGACCAAACAAATAATGGTAGCGAAATTTCAGAGTCTGATGCTGTTAATTGCAAATGCCGAAAGTAGGCCGCTTTTTTGAAGCGGTTACTTCCCTTTATATGTACACTAACGCCGAAAATTTCGGGGGAGATCACTGCGTAAGATGGTCAAATGACAGGCGCATTAATTTTCAAGCAAAATAATTCCCGAATGAATATTTCTTATATTGTTTTATCCTTTATAGATATACATGCTGATAATAAACTCCATGATTATTAACATCTATGTTAAACAACAGTTAGCGTCGAAATAATAAGGGTTACAAACCCTAATTTAGAATAATATGGTTTTCTTCAGGCCTTTTACATAACTTCACCGTTGCCGAGGGGTCTGGAGTTCAAATCAAGGAAGGCAACTCTTCTTTTTTTTCAAATTGTTTAAGTCAAATAAACATTGAATTGAATACCAGTGTTGCAATTAGTCTTAAAGCCAATTAACTACAATTAAAACACTGGAAAGCATTGGTGGCACTATACAAAAACAAATTGGTTTATAACCTCACAACCTTCACCTTTCTGACATTCTGAGACCCAAACAAATTCAGCGCCTTCTGTGCTTTGATTGTAGACTGGTTCTAATAAATAAAGGCTTAAAATGCGATGCATTAGCTTCATTTTGATACGCAAAAATGGATGCCACCAGCAATCAAGGGGTACTACAAATTTTATTTTTCGTGCATTAAAGGCACATCCTGCCTAGGAAACGAATAAATTTTTAAAAGGCAAACATACATTACAAATAATATCAATTTCCGCATATTAATGATTTATTACGGTTTTATATGATATACATGTACAAGTCATGATGGTGGCTAAAATAAGTGAAAATGGGATTTTAGATACCTTCTCCTTTTCAGTCTAATAAAAAACGTCCTTCTCTATTTTAACACTTTATCCAGACTTTGTCAAAAAGTGGTGTTGAGCATTTCCAATCTTATCGTCGGATACCCTCAGCCGAACTATTAACATTGATAACAGTGCAACTACATGTATTACTTACATGCTAATCAAATGTGAGTCTCTGACGATGTTCCAGTCTTACATTTAGTGTTTTTACTCCCAAAAGAATGTTAAAAATGAGCGGCAAACCATACAGAGGTAAGCCAGTTTATTGACCAATCGGAACATCTCGGCTTATTTCAATAATATGTATTTTTTTCAGTCTGTTATCTCATGATTTCCCCGTGGTGGAGGGGTTTACACGCTCGCTTTGGAAGCGAAATGTCTAGAGTTCAAATCCCACTCATCTCGTGTTTTTTTGTTTGTTTATTTTTTTTATATTTTTAATTGTTTAAGCCAAATAAGCATTGAATTGAATATCAGTGTTGCAATTAGTCTTACAGCCAATTTACTATATTTATTACACTGGAAGCAGCATTGGTGACACTATACAAACAAATTGGTTTGTAATCTCACAACCTTCACCTTTCTGACATTCTGAGACCCAAACAAATTCAGCGCCTTCTGTGCTTTGATTATTGTTGTTGTTTTGGAAAAGTGGGATTGCTTAATTAATTAATTAATTTATTAATTAATTTGTATTTATTCATTCATTTTATTATATATATTTCTTTTTATTTTTGTTTGCTCGCGCAGTTTTATGCTATATATACAGTATATACTATTGATGAAAACGAATAAACGATTATTCGCAAATACAATATGTTTCTCGTTATTTAATGTAACGAGTATAAGCATCATAATGCCTTGTATTTCAATATAGACAAATGTGTCGGATTGTACTGTTCGTCTATTAATGTCATACTTGTTTGATATTCTGTAACACGTACGGATTGCTTTGAAAGATAACGCGAAAGTTATTCTGTAATATTCAGGACTGTAGAAAATATTGGGAAAAAATCTAAGCGCGAGTACTTTTTCAATGACTCATACAAAATGGTGAATTCTTTCGAAGATACATCGTCCTGGTTTAAAGCAGGGTTAGTGTTTATTATATTAGCGCTTATATTAGATGCTACAGGATTTTCGTTACCATATTTTCTGGAGGAATGGGTAAATAATTCTGAGAGATGGAATTCTGGACTCTGGCAAACATGTACCCGGAATGGATGGAGGGATGTCGAATGCACGGACAGTATATTCACGGATACAGGTCAGTATATATAGGTTGGTCTATTTTTAGAATCAGGTCAGGCTATTTTGAGATTCAGGTCAGTGAACTTAGTGTGTGTGTTTATCAAAGCGTTAGGCAGTATGATACAAATGCATTTACTTTATCGCTTTTCTAAATCTAGAATAAAATAGAACTGTCCGTCATATAAAAAAATCTATCTATACTTTTCAAAATAAATACATCGGTAACTGTGCGGACCAACTCTGAATTTTTATTTGGATATCCCCGAAAATGATTGTGGACTGATGAACATTTACATAAAATTTTCGAATCTTATTAATTAATACGTTACTCTTAAATATCTCCGGTATTTCAAATATTGTAAAACAAAAGAAATGTATTATTTTAATGTTCTTATCAATTTTTTCTTGAGAAGAATGAATAATAAAAATTATAACATTTTATTATTTGCTATATAAATACATATCGTATCATGTATCTCACACTGACCAACAACATCCATGTATTATGATCTACATAATTGAGCCGCGTCACGACAAAACCAAAATAGTGGGTTTGCGACCAGCATGGATCCAGACCAGCCTGCGCATCCGCGCAGTCTGATCAAGATCCATGCTGTTCGCTTACCAACTCTATTACAAGTAGAGAATCTGAAAGCGAACAGCATGGATCCTGATCAGACTGCGCGGAGGCGCAGGCTGGTCTGGATCCATGCTGGTCGCAAACCCACTATGTTGGTTTTGTCGTGACGCGGCTCATATATCAACATACTTATTTATTGAACCAAATCACTTATATTGCTTCTAAAGTTATTGACGTAACCGTTATAATTAGAACCAGATTGGCAATTAGTAATGTTTTATTTTATTTTATTTTTTATTACAGGATGGTTTCTTGGAGCTAAGATATTACATTGTGTAGGAATATCAACAACTATTCTTACCTTGATCGTATCCCTCATATTATTGATAGCTCTGACAAATTCACGACTGACAAACATCAATGTGACTATCTGTTTCACGGCATGTAAGTACATATAATTATATGATTATAGACATTATATATTTGTTCATATGATTTTACTTTAGCCATATGCCCTCACCGCCGTGGGTTCGAATCCCGCCAGAGACTTTGGATTCTTTCATGTGAGGAGGCTGTCCAGCTAGCTTACGGAATGTCGGTGGTTGTACTCAGGAGTAGTTACTCTCAGGTGCCCGTTCGAGGCAAAATAATACAAGGAGGGGCGACTTAGGTCTTCCTCCACTCGCAAAGCTGTAAAGTAGCTTTACACTGTTGGTGCGACGTAACCCCAAACAATAACACAAAACTACAAACAAAGAAAACAAAGAAAAAACAACACAAAACAAAAACTTGTACATTAAATAATCGATTGCTGTGCTCTGATTACCATGGTAATAAAGTAATATTAATTTAAAGTACCATTCGAACATTAATTAATCATTTATGGTAAAAATAAGGATCATATTAAAGAGATAAAAAATAATTTTGTGATAAATTGGTTGATGTCTTTTTTTCTATTACCTTTACACTGTCGGAGCTATGCGCCTATGACAAAACCCATACGAAATCTACGAAATACTAGTGATGACACGAATTCACAATTTCAACTTCCTGAATCAATATTTCATCTTGTTTTCACAATGTCAATATAAAATGTAATATCTAACAATATTATTTTTTAATTTTTCTTAAAAAATCCGCATTTGAGCACTTCACAATTTTTTACACTTCACAATTAGGGGAATTGTGACTTCATTTTCACAATAAGGGAAATTGTGAATTTTTACTTGACAACGGAGGAAATTGTGAAAATCTGTTTTGCTATTAGGTATAAATAGTTTTGGCACTGGAAACGTATCTATTTACTGGCGGAAATGCCTGTGTATGAAAGATAATTTTTGAAACCATAGATCTAAACTATATATGAAATTATAAACATCCATGTTTTATTGTTACAGTATCAGCAGTTGGCACGGGAACTTTGATATGTATCAAGATGCTACTGATCACACCTGAGAACACAGATTTTCTACACAGATATCTGGGGATGTCTTTTTACCTTTGTATAAGTGCTACAGCATCTTTGCTCCTCGCCTGGATATTTCTTATGATCGACCAAAGGAAATCAAACTCATAAACGAAGACAGAGATATGTGTCCAACTCTTCATAAGTTGAAATGAATTCCGGTATTTTCTTCCCTATTCGTGACAAGTAAAATTCAGAAGTTGGTTTTCGTAGGAGCAGTTATATCATGTAAACAGCGGCAAACAGCATCGTTATAAACGGTATATCGTTATAAGCGGTATATCGTTATAAGCGTTATATCGTTATAAGCGGTATATCGTTATAAGCGTTATTTCGTTATAAGCGGTATATATATTGTTATAAGCGGTATCGTTATAAGAAGAGTTGACTGTAGATATTACAACAGAATATTCATTATATGTATAGTACTAAATACTCAATGAAAGACTTTGCAAGTCACTTCTTGTTCGAAGAAATGCATTGATTATAATAGTGCAAAAACTATGTTGATAATCATATTGGTTTCATTTTGTGTATTCTATCATTCTACCTCATATCTGATCTCAGGCCATATAACGTGTATAACGAATTGTCTATCTTAGATTTGACTGTCACTGCAAACTACATACAAATGAAAGAGAGGCTTTCACTACAAAACTACATATGAGCCGCGTCACGACAAAACCAACAGAATGCGTTTGCGACCAGCATGGATCCAGACCAGCCTGCGTATCCGCGCAGTCTGATCAGGATCCATGCTGTTCGCTATCAGTTTCTTTACATGTAATAGGGTTTGTAAGCGAACAGCATGGATCCTGATCAGACTGCAAGGATGTGCAGCTGGTCTGGATCCATGCTGGTCGCAAACGCATTATGTTGGTTTTGTCGTGACGCGGCTCAATTATGACAACTGCAGACTCGGTTTGATTGAGTCTGTTCATGAGAAATAATGTAAAAGTGCAACATCCCTCACGTCCCATGAGCACTTGCTTTAACCGGTATTCAATTTTAAAATCAATGAACCTGAAGGACCAGAAAAATATAACAACACTGAAGTGAAGTACGAGCACCAAAATGTCGACAGACAGGATGTGTACAATTTTTACAAAAGAGAAAAACTGACTAATGCCATTTCTTTAGGAGAATTCTGCTTTCGTTTTAGTGAAAATATGTTGACTTTTTTTTCAGTTGTAAACATTAACAGCTCTAGGGAAGGAATATGAATTTTTAGAAGTGTCATATTAGAAAGGCCAGTGATTTTCTTACATGTTTTGGCAGTACAGACTGTTTTGAATACATGATGTTTTGACCAATAATTGTACTATCTCTGTAAGTTTTACAGTTGCCAAAAAATGTGTAGTTTTAAGGTATATTATATGTTATTTTGGTTTTGGAGTGATATATGTGGATATATTACCTGTTAAGATTTTATATCACCCGAGCCGTTAGGCGAGGGTGATATTTTATCTTGGCAGGTAATATATCCACATATATCACTCCAAAACCAAAATAATAATTTTATTACCCTTCCCCTGCCGAGTTTAGACGATTTTTTAAAAAATCATTGCTGTTTCAAATGAAACGTCGAAATAAGATTCCCTTTAGGATACCTCTTCGTCACAACATGACGTCACATAAATACATGACGTATTTTTCCCGTACCTTACGAAAGTAAACAAGAGAAAAGGAGTAGTCTGTTGAACGCACTTTTTTGTAATTTATATCAAGCTTTCACAAGGTCATATTTGTTTTCGATACTGATGGTTATATGTATCATTACTCTACTTTGGTAAATATTTATCATTTGACAGTTAAAAAGTGCTTTTAAATCGGAATTTACACCGCGTAAAATCGAACCGTACGCGCATCACCTCAGCGCATATTGTTTACAACGTTGGGTACCAAACGGGGAAATTTAGTGTGTATATTACCCGTCTGGCTCGGTTATATCAATTTCTTTCGGGTGATCAATATCCAATCAAAAAGGCGGAAAAAATCTGGAAGGGTAATAAATCCACATATATCACTCCAAAACCAAAATAATAATTTTATTACCCTTCCCCTGCCGAGTTTAGACGATTTTTTAAATAATCATTGCTGTTTCAAATGAAACGTCGAAATAAGATTCCCTTTAGGATACCTCTTCGTCACAACATGACGTCACATAAATACATGACGTATTTTTCCCGTACCTTACAAAAGTAAACAAGAGAAAAGGAGTAGTCTATTGAACGCACTTTTTTGTAATTAATATCAAGCTTTCACAAGGTCATATTTGTTTTCGATACTGATGGTTATATGTATCATAACTCTACTTTGGTAAATATTTATCATTTGACAGTTAAAAAGTGCTTTTAAATCGGAATTTACACCGCGTAAAATCGAACCGTACGCGCATCATCTCCGCGCATGTTGTTTACAACGTTGGGTACCAAACGGGGAAATTTAGTGTGTATATTACCCGTCTGGCTCGGTTATATCAATTTCTTTCGGGTGATCAATATCCAATCAAAAAGGCGGAAAAAATCTGGAAGGGTAATAAAACTTTATTTAACTTTTGAATTTAAGCCATTATTAAGTTTGTTTAAAATCTCAATTTTAGTGTGTTATAATGTGCGAGAAAAAAAATTGTGCTTTCAAAAGAAAGATATTTTGCTTTAAAGGAACTGTGAAAAATTCACCGATTGAACTAAGATACTTTTGATGAATGGATGACCAACCTTACCAAATGTTACAATTGTATTAAAAGATAAATAGCTGTATAAGGTAATGAATTGATAATGCTGAAGTAATATTTTTTTCATCTCCGATCCCAATTCTTTCCGATAAGAATGAATAATAGTCGAGTTGTTCCGATTGCTTCTGTGTACGCAATCGCATTCTCCCGGCCTTTCCAGAAGGACGTTGAGTTTCAGTTCAGCAAAAGGAGGTCTGTTTTTACGATCACTCTCGGCAAATTTACAGAAAATCCGTCATCCCATGATTCATTTGGACTTGTGCAATTGTCCTAATTTATGTATATATGTACATGTATATCATAAATAATGATGAATACTGAAATCAATTTTTGTTTGTTTTAAATTGTGTGTGAACGGCTGCCAGTAACTACTGATTAAAACTAAAGCGTTACTATTTTAAAGGCCCATTTCAGTATGCCTCAGAAATGCTATCATTTTTATTTCTCAAAACATGTTTATTTTTCTCTTGTTACGATTTCCATAAATATACCCATGTGCTATATTATACATGATTCTATCTTTTGAAACTAGTTCTGTTGGCAATTAGTATAATTTTAGTGAATTAGATTTTTTGTATGGAAGTCAAAATACTACTTTGTTTACATTATGCTACCTTTAAACACACAACTGCATGTTCAGCGCTACTTCTTCAGTTAAACAACATCTCATATGTAGTATTTAAAAAATATCAAACACATGTTTGACATTTCTAAAAAAAGCATAATTGGTCTTTAATATGCAAGTCTGTATAAGAAAATTATATTGATTTGTAAGTTATGCGTTTTACAAATTCCTTTTTGCATAAAGCTAGTCCGTCTGTCATATTCCTAAGCAACAAGCAATAAGGGTCATTTTTTGTCATTACAAGGGGGAGGGGGGGGGGGGGCAATTGCCAACTTCAGAAACTCTCGGACAACAATAACTGAGAAATGTGAAATTGGCAGAACCTCTGTTAAAGATAAAAGATACTTTTTGTTATTCCTTTAAAAAAATCAAGATCTTCAGAACCATTCCTCAATATATTTGGCGATTTTTCCCCTTTCTCCAATGATTTCTGGGTCGATATTCACATAAGCAGATGTTTTATTTATACATTTTTTTTTACAAAAGTTCCGGTACGTCCATATAATTATATTTTATGATTTCGTTTACCATTAGATATTTTTTGCATCTTTAGTATAATACATTTATCTGATATAGGCTGTTAGATGAAGTTTTTATTACATGATTTTCATGTGATGTGATAAATCGTAAAATTCCGTTTACTTTCGTATCTTTTACGTTATTAAAGTCACCGTTTTTTGTGTGACAGTGCTACTGATGTTATCAATATGACGTAATAAATCAATCGAACGAACGATCTTTTAATATCCGAATATAACGCACAGCGATGATAGATGATTAAGTTTTCATCGTTTTATATTGTATTTGATTTATTTACTTTTAATGTCATTTGCGAAAAAAAAAACATCAATAGTTTTTTTTATCATTGAACATTTTGCATCCGTTTTTTTTATGTGATCACTTTTAGGATTTTACAGAGAAGATTTTATGCTCAGTGTAATTTACATAATTACTTTAATAAGACAATCAGCATTTCATAGATTATATAAATACTAAATTGTCCTGACAGAGTCGATTTAGGCGAGAACAAACTTTTTAAACGACAATTCTGAGTTTCGCCCTCGCTTCTTAGAGCAATACACTACAGTACAACAAATACAACATATTCACACAACAAAAAAAGAAGAGCACTACACTGCACAACGCACTATACGATAAAGTACATGCAATGCAAATACTTATGATACTGATGATAGATAATTTTGAACAGATTAAATAAATTACAAAAAAATAAAAATTACCCAAATTTAATTGTGACATTCAAAGAGGATATTGAATGTAAATTTATTGAACGAGTTTAATAAAATCATATTATACGAGCAACTCTCGGTGCGAAATGATAAGTTACTTGTAGATTTTATGCAAACAATGTTTTTTTCAAAAGTGAATGCGTTGAGCGTGTGCCATGCATTTGCTTAAACATGAGGGCTATTGAAAAGGAAAAGGTTCATCTTCCCCATACGCCTTATTCGCCTGCTATTTGTAGTGTTTTGCTCTAGCTTCTATGGCATTTTGAGATTTTGTTAAATATCAACTATTTCTGGTAGCTATCAACATGTTATAATGGTGGGGCTTTAACAAAATTCAGTTTCAGAGAGAAATGCTTTCAATTCAAACTATCATTGAAAATGTATGGTATTGATAAATAGAATCAAGTAGTTAGTAAGTATATTGCATCCTCTTGTCTTAAGTCTTTGGATTTTTTAAAAGTTTTTTATATATATAAAAAGAGATTATAAAAGAAAGAAGCATTGTAGTGTACAATGTATTTGATCTTTAACATATAAATTTCCCAGATTTTTTCTTGACCCCGATTCCTGATTTCCATCTAGTTTTCGTATCTTTGATATTTATGTCTTGAAATTTTAAAGATTTAATGTACGTTGAAATCAAAGAAATCCGAGTTTTAGAATCAATCATCACAGTTATTTTGCAAAGATTTGTCTTTAATCTGGGTGAATTTGTTGTCATATAAACATTTATTATATACTTATAAATGAAATATTGAGAAATATTGATGAAATAAAATGCGTATTTTCATTTTCCGTATTTTCACTGTAAAAATTTATTTTTCACTGCAGTGAAACATATTTTCCGTATTTTCACTGGTGTCTTGCCGGACTACTTTCTTTTAAATTCTGCCAGTACACAAAATTTAAGGGAAAGTCTTTTAAATTTTAATGTGAAAAAAGAGAAAAATGTATATAATAAACAGAAAATTCAAGGTTTTTTTTATAAATACATGATTTATTTTCATCTTGTGGCATGAAAATACCATATTTCACTCGTGGCTACCGCCACTCATGAAATATTTATTTTCAT